GTCTGCTCAATAACGGAATTAGTGTTGGTTTGTCTGGACAAATTGCAAAATTTATAAATTACGCAAAAATTTTATTAAAAAGGAGGCAGTTTAATTTGAATTAATTTATTTTAATTTTGCAATACGTAATGCATGGACTTTATAGGCTGTAACGGTGACGGTAACGGCAATACGTAATATGTTTTTTGATTAAATGTTTGAAGTGAACTCCAATTATCAACCCCGTCTGGGGTGGATAGGTAAACATGCGTTTGCGAGTATCCACTCTAGGGTGTTCTTTTAGGGTTGATAAACGGAATAACCCAAAAAATATACTTTTTAAGCAATAGTATAAAGCGCTTGTCAATTTTGAGTAACGATTCATCTTCTATCTATAAAATTACCCTTAAAAAGGTGTCCTACTAGATGCTCTTCAAGAAACGACGCTTTATCAGCTATAAGGGAACATTATTTTTTAATGAATTATATTAATAATGAAAACTTTCTAACAACTAAATTTAATTTCCACTAAAAAGACGGACCTTTTGTCTTCACTATTTGAAATCATCAATCCTGTTTCTAAAGCTCTACAGCATGATAATAATGACGTACAGAAAGATAACATTTTACTAAGGGTAACCTTTTGAATAGACTGACTGAAATAAGAAATCAAAATTCATTTCATAGTTTGCTGAGCGAGTCCAGAGATAAGCAAAAGAGTGGGGGTGTAAAAACTGCTTTAAAAGAAAGAAGATAACGAAGCGTTTTTTTAATTAGAAGAATATCAGAAGGTATGAGAATATTATACCCGGAATCATACTCTAAAGTCAATGTGTACTACTACTATTGCTGTCAAGATATATTAAGGGGAAATATAACCTCAAATGGCTTAGCAAGATCCTACGTTATGCCGAAAATATTGCAGGATTAATTTTGAAATAAATATATGGTAAAGTTGAGGATTAATAATAAGGACTATTTTAGACGAAAACACGATTCCGTAAAATTTTCTCGATAGAAAAAAAATCCAAAGTTCCCTCAAAAATAAACAATATACCGCTGTTATTCATAAAATACATTAAATAAGATCATGAAACTTTGCATACTAACTAAAGTAACTATAAAGCAGTGCTTATGTTATTTACTTTTTTTAAATACCATTATTTTCACTGTAAAAAGAAATTACCTAAACTATCGGCGTGTCTCGTCTAGTTCCTGCCGCCCGGTCAGTTTCGCTTCGGCCTTTGAAGGGGGAGGTTGTGTCGCTTACGATCAGAATACACATTACGCAACAGGACGACGTAAAATTAAAATGGGAAATAACCGTAATAAAAATAAGAAGCGACTGGGTTGGCATTAAGAAACAGGCATAAATATGATAAACCTAATGAAATAAGTATCTAACGACCTATCTACTTACGGTATTAGTGATTATAAACATGTCGGTACATAGCATACGACGCGCGGGGAAGTGGGGGCGAAATTAGAATTTGAGCTGACTTACTATATCCCCTTAATGTCTCAAGCTAAACAGTTCCTGAGCCTCTGAGACCCAAGTAATGTAGTCGAAGTATTACAACCGGAGAAACTCTTTAACTTTTTCAAACGAAATGTTCGAAGTATTATTACAACAAGAAAAAATCAGCTGACAGCTGAAAGAAGTTTTTTAAAATTAATACTGATGAAAGTTATCTGAGTACCTCCATGGGACAGGAAAGGCTATCAAACTTGACACTATCTAGGCAGTCATGACCGATGACGAGACGATCGCCATTATAATGGGTCGGGTAAAAAGTTTCTTCGTATTTTGTTTGTATAAAATTGAAGAAAATCTCTTTGGTTGTACTGTTATTATAAAGATTAATCACTGGTGATGAAGTACCTACTCTGTCAATGACGGTCAAAGGTAGTCAAGTCCACAGACTAGCGAAACCTGGATTACCACGCAATAAGGTGATGCTTTGTGTATGGTGGCATTAGAAGGGCATCGTTTATTATGAGCTTTACTGCCACCAACTAGTAAGATTCAAGCAAGAAATCAAGAAAAAACGGCCGAATTAAATCATCAGAAAAGGAGTGGTCTTTTATCATGATATCGCTAGATAACACAATCTTTAGCCACTCAGTAAAAATTGAGAAAGCTTGGTTGGGAAGTGTTAATGCATCCACCATATAGTCTTGACCTTTCTTCTCAGATTTTCACCTGTTTCGGTCACTTCAGATTCTTTGGGTAGTGTTAGGTTAACATCAAGAGAGGACTGTCAAAAGTACTTGTCGCATTTTTTACAACGGGACAACGGGCAGTGGGATTATGTCATCTTCCTACAAGATGACAACAAGTTATCGAAGAAAATGACACATATATATGTTATAATTAAATGTAATGAAACTGAAAAAAATGTGTACATAAAGTACGAAGAAACTTTTTCCCCGGCCTTTTAATTTCGCCGAACAAGACAAGGAAATTTTATATTTGAATTGAATTGTTTGACTAGCTTTGTTTCTAGGAGTATTAATAGTAATTTTTAACTTATAATCAATATATAATCGTTTCAATTCAATGCGAGCGGTTTTAGGCTTTTCGTTTGGGCCCCCCAACAAATTTTGATACAGGGCCCCTCTAAGGCATGCTACGCCACTGGATATAGGTAAACTCATGTCTTTATCTTGCGTTAGCTTGTTCAAAAAAACGATTGTAAAATTTTGACTCGATCATAATTATTTGCGAAAGCACCTCTAAAAATCACTATAGTTGAAATTACAACGAAGTTACTTAATCTATATGCTTGGGAATCACTCAAATATATTCATAACATCAATATTCGTAATTTACTTGCCCATTATTTTAATTACTTAAATCAATAATTTTTTTTAAATATTTTAGGATTCTGACAATTTTTAAGCGGTGTCAATCGTCGCGGGCGCTACGCAATTTTAAACTTTGTGACTGCGTTTTTTAAGTTTTTATAGAAATTATCATTTACGCGGATCAGTCCGGCGATAGCCCGGAACCATTTTAAACGTTCATTTTCGACGTGTCGTCTTAAGCTACTAATTTACGCTAGAATACTGTAAGACCGTATTTTTTTCTCGATTGAGGCGACAAATTCGTGCCACAACTACAATACGGCTGCAGCGTGGTTACTACCAACAAAAAAAGATAGTCGCAGCACTACGTACATTTCAAGTGATGCCGACACCATGCTCAACTTCTTGACACGCACACACGCACACGTGTTTTTTTTTCTTTTTTTATTAGCCTGTAAAGTTTACTGTTGAACGCACATACATATACCACATATAGCGATGTCGTTGATTGTAAACTATTAGTCTTACAATAATTTGAACTCGATTTTGGCTTGGATTTTACATCAACAGAAACGTATGTGCTAATCTTTCTTTTTTTGTTGGTAGAAGTAGCTAGTAAAATATATGTTGGTTAATTAACGGTTTCTCTTGCTAAGATATTAATCAGTAGAAAATGATTTGTACGGTTTCATATGTGCACGTTAATATTTTAGGTTTTCGACAAAACCACAGGTATGTTACTGCGTAACATAAGCAACGAAGAGCCGCTCTTTGAAGTACCAGGACTTTCCACCAGTAGCATCTTAGCGTTGTCAATAAGGTCGTATAACAGTAAAGGCTTAAGTGAAGCTTTTACGCTAGCCTGCAGTTTATTGCAATATCCGGAACGAAGAACAGGTAAGTTGGTATCTATTATTGATAAAGTAGTACAGATAGTAAATATTTCCTCATTATAAGTGTTTAAGATTAAATTCATTCTGAGTTCCCAACGATTGATATTCAAATAATATATAAGATATACATTTAAGTACATAAATTATGACATTGTATGTATCGTGAAATTATTATGACGATAGCAAAGAACTGGATATTTAGAATCAAAGGCAGATTTAGTATTTGGCTTTTCATTGCAAGCTCGCGTCATGAATTCGAATCCGCCATTCGACTACTGTGATGTGTAGTCTAACTTTCGACATAAGTGTTTGTAGTATAAAGTATATAGTATCTTAATTACCACCCTTAGTGAATAAGATACTGGGGTCCTCTAACCGGATTCATCCATAAATTACAGCCTGTCATAAGCTAACTGCGGAACACAAGCCTCCTCCATAGATACGGGTGATACTTGCCACACTTGCCATGCTTAACAAGCTGTTTAGCAACCGCAGGTTTTTAATAATTTTGAGTTGTTATCAGGAAGGTAACGGAAGGTTACTTGGGGTCCCGGATACAATACGTAAAATTTTCCTTCAAACGCTAATCTGGCTAGCATGATGCACCTTAGTGACTGATGAACGATGGATATCAAAAATGCTAAACATGAATTTCACAGACTGGTGAAGAATATAAGTATTGCCAATGCGAAGACCTTTAACTTGCTTCCGCAGCGCGGTTAGTATGGGCAAATCTTCCAAAAAGTAATCTCTCTAAAATTAGAGGAGGCCTATGGCCAGAAATGGCACGTATTATATATATAGTAATTCACTTTTAAATGTTTTCAAGATAAAGGTAATGAGGACGATAATAGATTTTTATAAGAATACGCAAGCGGTGTTTGTAGCAAATCGAAGTGATACAATCCACGCGAAATAGACATTTTTTTTTTGAAATTTTTATCCAATATTAAAATGAGTTTTGAATATACCAGGTAGTTTGACTTCTTTTATTCCTAGGAGTCCTTCTCGGTAGGTACTAACCTTTTAACTACTTCTTTTGTGTTAGTCCTCAGAGATGACAACAACATTTAACTTTTTTAAAGTTGGCTGCAGTTATCTACGGACTGGAGTGGCCACTTACCATCAGGTGGACTGTGAGTTGAATTGATCACCGATATCAAGACGATAACGATAAGGTTTATTTTTAGATAGAATAAGGCTAACAAAGAGCACATAGTCTATTTGATGGTAAGTAGATGCTGTGGTGGGGTGCAGTACTAAACCTATCCTCAATTTAGAATAAAAATAACGATGCGTTGTCACCACTGAAGACAAAGACGGAATGCCACGTTTCTAGTAACAGGGGTCTTCATTTCTTTACATACGCTATACAAAACACAGCAGAATTAGGCTGCTGTTTTACGCTGGTATTCTGTGAGAGTGTGGCTCTTCCCTGATCGAGTTGAGCGTAATATAGCCGCAGCGTGGCTTTTCCACGTATATTCAAGATTCAAATTCAAAAACTTTATTATAATTTTATATATAAATATTTAATTGAATCCAAAGGCTCCCAAACTAGTGTAAAACTGTGTTTCTGGAGCCAGTGGCTTCTCCCATAACACTGCACTATTAAATATATGAAGATATAGTTGACTTTTATATGTTAAGCTCATTATCATGTTTTATAAATAACGTATGATTGAAAATATAGTGTTATGCTAAATAAAGTGCATAAAATTGTAGCATTCACCGTGCAATAAGAGAGAGAGAGAGAGGGAGAACTTGCTCTCTCTCTCTCAAAACAACCGGTACAGAATTTTTATTTTTTATTTTTAGCGCAAGTGCCCGTCAAAGTAGAATTAACGACACTACTAATAACAGTTCTGGCGGCGGTAGTGATAATTACAGTCATGGCGACGGTGTCCGCCGCAGTGTGCTACTGCAAGTATTGTAATAACAAGGAAGGTGAGTTTAAGAGATCTTGTTATGTATTAAGATTTATGAAAGCATTCTTGGATTCGGATTGCTAAAAAAAATGAGTACACTTATGCTTTTGAAGAAAGTAAATGACATCTCACGATCGTTATACGTTCCACTAACAATATTTACTACTAACTTGCCCTGACTTCCCCCGGGTAGGATCTAATTATAATCTTATCTGACCTATTTAGATTTAGCAAAATTAAATTTGAAGTAAAAAAATATGTAATAAATTTTTGGACAAAATAAATCGCTTCTGTCATTGCTCTCTATCTGGTCGTGAAGTTTCAATACAATCAGTTCAGTCATTCCGAAGTATACCATCTTTATATATAGATTAGAGAGAGAGAGGGTATTTTTTCAGAAGTGAATGTTGAAAAGCATATTGAGTAACTTCATACAAAAATTAACATTACTTTAAATTGTAATATTGTATATATATAAACATTACTCTAAATTATAATAAATTAAATATAACTTTATCTCATGATTTTAGTTAAAATGTTTTTCATTTTATTTTAAATATTTTTTAGTTTTGTTTTTAAATAAAACAACTTGCGTTATTGTTAAATTGTTGGTACTCACCTATAACTTAAGTACATATATATACTGTTATAACAAAATGTAGCTGAAATGTTTTTATATGTACTTAGTTGGCAAGTCTAAATAAATAAATAAACGGAAGTTATTTCGATATTACGGACAGACAGTTCGATTTCATTTATATGAATTGATGTCCTCCAACATATTCATCCCCCTGCGTGAATAAATCTTTTTCCGCTTTCGCATTTTTTTTTCGTTCACTTGCGGACATATACACTACATGCACTACACTCCGTTCCAACTACATATTGGACGTACTGAGTCCTTTTTTCCTTCAACATAAGAAGTAGAAGAAGGAGAAGTAGTAACTACTAAAACGTATGTGGTTTTCGAAAACTATGGTGTTTTTTCAGATACAAACGAGAAAGCTAAATCACCTCAAGAAGAGAGTTCAAACATGTTGCTTACAGGTGAGAAAAAGACTGACAGTGCTGATAGCTTAGGTATGTATATTTACATTTTAATTATTTATTAGATATAGTTTCTTTACCGCTTAACATTATTTATTGATATTTATATTTTCAGATAAGAATCCTGATATTATACCTTTAAACACGAAACTAAGTGATACTTGTTCTAACAAATCTTCAAACACAGACAACAGTTCTGTCAGACCTTTAATATCTACAACTAATGTAGATGAATTTGAAATACCTAATCGTTTCAATGCACATTACAATCATACGATGAACAGTACTTACCAGTATGAACATCCACTGAGATATAGGATACCAAATATTCAACCAAGTTTGGCGCCGATGCCAAACATTGGAACAAATGTTTATAGGCAACCGTTTCATAATGTTTATGAGGATTGGTTGAGATATAAAAACACGTTACCTTTAGACAGTAGCCATTTGGTAAGTAATTAAGTATTTTATAAGAAATAATATTTGCGTTTAACGTATACTGTTGCATGCTAGCTATTTAAGGTTTTTTATTAATGCAAAGCTAATATTTTTTATATTTTATTAGAGATATTTCAATTTGAGTTATAAAATTTTTGAAATCGTTATATTATATACAACTTATATTACAACACAGTGTTGGAAACTTGGAGATGCTACCAAAACAACATAACCCTGTGAGAATTAATTTAATAAAATTAGTTTTTATTATTTTAATCTCAATTCGAATTACCTTTGCTTTTATATTTTGAAAGGTTGACATTTGTTCCAAGCAACAAACAAATCAAAAGGAAATAACACAACGTAGAGTCTACCGCTGCTGTGTTTCGAAGTCAATTGGAGACCGTTGTTACTGTTGATGAGACATTTCTTCTTAATTCGCAGGGCTGATAATATACCTTTATTTTGATTCTAAATCAAGAATAAATGAAGGTCTATAGACTAAAGCATTAGCTTATCTTTTATTGTACCATGTACCCTTTTGTCACCCTTACTTCTGTAGAAAAAGGACGATAGGAGAAAGGTGTCTATGGGCTACCGCCTACCACCAGATAGTTTGTGTGTTACCATTACATTTATGTATCTAACATGAATGTTATTAAGATTTAATATCGACTATAAATTGTGTCGTAGCTAACTACTTACTAACTTCAATTTCCATTGTAGCTACCATTAGAGCAACTAAGACCGCCAGACGAATATATCTCTCCGCCACCTCCGGTACTCAGCGACTTATGTCGGAATCCAAATTTCCAGTGCCATCTGCAGGAATCGCATTTACGAGAAATGGAACAAAGACATCCCTCAAATGAAACTAATCCGACTTTGAGTCAAAATCTGAAAATGTCTGATTTACCCTCTGTGAGAGTACATTCAGAAAGTAATAGTGCATATTTTAATAAGTTCGGTGTTGCAACAAACACTATACCCCGCATGAAAGGTACTAATAGTAAGTATTAACTTTTTATTTATAACGTAGTTATATTCCACATTTATTCATTTATTCATTAGAGCCCATCAACAGTCCATTACTGATTATTGACCTTCCCTTAGATTGCCTCAAAGTGATATTTGCCATAGGTGCCACGCTTGTCGGGCGGGTTGGTAACTGTCGTTTTTGATCGAGTTCACACGTTCACTGATCATGGTTTAATTTGGATTGCTGCAACCAAAGGCATCATACCACAGCAACAAAAGTTACCGCAGCCCTCCGAGAAGCTATAGGGCCACATGAAACATCTCATGAGCAATCACTGGACGTAACATTATTATTGTTGACACAATCACTATGTGACTGGGTGATTTTTTTAGCGTCTGGAAAAAATAGGGTGTAATAAGTGAACGGAATAGAAGCCTATGGCACTGATATTTTACATTTTTTGTTATTTAATATTATCATATTATAAAATTGATCTATCAATAAATACTACTATTTTGAAATAAACTTTCGGCACTAAAAGATAACAACAAAATGTTTGAACTAAATAAATAAATCAATTAAAAACTATCGAAATTAAAATAATACTGGGTACGTATGTAGCTCGAAGAACCGATAACCGATGGGGAAGAAAGTTTCTCGAGTGGCAGCCTCCTTCCGGTAGGCGTAGTTTAGGGCGACCCCCCACTAGATGGAGTGACGACCAGGTACGACATGCAGGAAGTCGATGGATGCAGGTGGCTCAGGATCGTGCTTTGTGGCATTACTTGGGGGAGGCCTATGTTCAGCAGTGGACTTGTGAAGGGCTGTAGTGATGATGGGTACGTATACCCAATTGGTAGTATTTATTGATAGTTGAATTTAATAATACGTTATAGGAAAATAAAAAATGTGAAATATCAGTGCCATAGGCTCCTTTTCCGTTCACTTGTTACACCCTATTATTTCCAGACGGTAAAAAAATCATTCAGTATAGCAGAGTTCACTTTACAATTCTTACAAAATATAATATCTGTTTTATGATTTATTTATTGTGTATACATACATACTTTAATTAATTATCATATTATTTATATTATACCTGTCTGCGCTTACATTACTCTGTGCTACATTTGTAGGATAATTTATTTCATTATTCAAACGTGTTTATTAAAATACCCTAGCTACATTACATTTGTAAAGTAATGCCCATTTCGCAAAACGGCCCCTTGATAGAATATCCCATTGGCAGAAATAATACATTATTTCATTATTCAGTTATATCTTTATTAGTTAGTTTTAATAGATAGGATTCCCTAAATTTTTAAATCGCTGAGAGTTCACAAAAATAGCATTTATTTATCAATGTAAAAAATCATGTCAACATGACACAGCATTATATAAATAATAATTCTCGTTATTATTTCAAAATTTATATTATCCGTATAATTTTACGATATATGTAATAGCTACGGAATTTCTCTCAAATTCCACTTAAAAATCGTAAAATTAATGACGGTAGACTGCAAATGGAAAAAACGTAACCAATAATTTTGCAATCAAGCGACAAGTTTTCAGCCAATTCGCGAATGGGAAGATATAATGAGCATGTGAAGCATTTTGCGAAAATAAGAACAGAGGACTAACTTGAATTAACAGATATTTACATCTTTATATTATATAAAAGAGGATGTTTGTACATTCGAAATCCTTTAACACAAAATCTATTTGATCGATTACCATGAAAATTGGTGTACATATATATGGTTTTTTCATTGGAGAAGGTTTTTATATTTAAAAAGTAAAAAAAATGCAGTAATTAAATTAAAATGCATG